GCAGAGTGTCTGCTGTGGAATCATCTTGTTGTGTTTCAAATAATAACAATATTAATAATATTTTATTTATACCCCGCCATCATCTCCCCAAGGGGACTCGGGGTGGCTTACATGAGGCCAAGCCCAACAACACATCAGTAAACAACAAAGCAGCAAGCAAATAAACAGTACAATTAATATAACTCACATATAAGCAAAAACACACAAAAATTTAAAAACCTTATGGCCGGGCCAGATGTAATAGATTAAAATTTTAAAATAAACACTGGGCGTGAACAGAGGTATTTCCCTTCATCCAAGCTTTAGCACAACAGGTTAATCACCAAGCAATATGTCCCTAAACGCACTTTATTAATGATCTAAGATTGTCTGCACATTTCTTCCCTCTCCAAAATTTCTATCCCAGTTACATGTCACCTTGTCATGCCCAGCATTATTTTTTTAAATTTTAATTATTACATTTGGCCCAGCCATAGGTTTTTAAACGTCATTGTGTTATTGTTAATGTTTATTGCTTATTTTCTGCTTATGAGTTTTATTTATTGTTTTGTATTACTGTTGTTATTGTATTGCTGTATTTGGGCTTGGCCTCATTTAAGCCGTAACGAGTACCTTGGGGAGATAGTAGCGGGGTACAAATAAATTATTATTATTATTATTATTATTATTATTATTATTATTATTATTATTATTATAAATCTTGCCAGCTGGATGGTTGATAGTTCAAAGCCCGGATCAGGGTGAGTGCCTGACCTTTCAGCCCAGCTTCTGCCAAGTTTGAAAATAAATGTGAGTAGATAAATAGGAACTGCATTAAAGCGGGGAGGTATTTTAGGCAAGGCGTTTAGATCAGAAAAAAGGAGGAAGTTTATGAATAAAGAAAAACTCTTCAGCAAGGAGATGGAGCGACAGCACCCCCCTGTGGCCGGACCTGAGCACGGCCAACAAAGATGCCGAAAGATGGGAAAGCCCATATATATACTTCTATCTGTGGTCTGTGTTGTCATTATATAACCGACATTCCACGTTTGCTGTATGTATGCTCTGTGATCCACCCTGAATCCACTTTGGGGTGAGAAGGGCTGAAGATAAATATTGTAAATAGATAAATAATGCATTCACTATAGATATAAAAATACAGATATTTGATTTCATTAAAAAAAAAACAACTTCTGGTTTCAAGCATTTAGGATAAGGGAGACTCAACCTGTACTAGTACACTATTAGTCACAATGGCTTGCATTAATGCCAGAGGCAGCGTGCCTCTCAAAACCAGTTGCTAGGGAACAGGAGTGGTCACTACATCTGTGTCCGTGTTCTGCTTGTGGGCTTCCCAAAGAGATCTGGTTGACCGCTGTGACCAGAATTTATTTATTTTGTGCATTTGTACCCCGTCCTTCTCACACACACCCCTTCCCACACACACACACACACTCAGGGCAGCTTCACAACAAACACTCATTCACGTGCTAACCACAATTATCTATCTAAATAAAAATGTAATGTTTGTTTGTGGGATTAACAGAACTCAAAAACCACTGGACAAATTGCCGCCAAATTTGGCCTCAGGACACCTACTAACCCAAGGAGTGACCAGAACTCAAAAAATTGATTTTGTCATTTGGGAGTGGTACTTGCTGGGATTTATAGTTCACCTGCAATCAAAGAGCATTCTGAACTCCACCAATGATGGAATTGAACCAAGCGTGGCACACAGGACTCCCATGACCAACAGAAAACACTAGAAGGGTTTGGTGGGCATTGACCTTGAGTTTGGGAGTTTTTATTTTTTAATCATGTCAGGAGCGACTTGAGAAACTGCAAGTCGCTTCTGGTATGAGAGAATTGGCCGTCTGCAAGGACATTGCCCAGGGGACGCCTGGATGATTTGATGTTTTTATCATCCTTGTGGGAGGCTTCTCTCATGTCCCCGCATGAGGAGCTGGAGCTGATAGAGGGAGCTCATCCGCCTCTCCCCGGATTTAAACCTGCGACCTGTTGGTCTTCAGTCCTGCCAACACAGGGGTTTAACCCACTGGGCCACCGGGGGCTCCACGAGTTTGGGAGTTATAGTTCACCTATATCAAGAGAGCAATGTGGACTCAAAAAATGATTGATCTGGACCAAACGTGGTATGAGTATTCCATATGCCCAAATATGAACAAACATGCAGTTTGGGGGGGGGGGGGAAGGGTGGACCTTGACATTTGGGAGTTGTAGTTACTGGGATTTATAGATCACCTACAATCAAAGAGCATTCTGAGCCCCACCAATGACAGAATTGGAGCAGACTTCCCACATAGAACCTCCATACTTAAGGCCACCCAGTCCAACTCCCTTCACCAGGGCAAGAAAACATAATCAAAGCCCTCCCAACAAAGAGCCATCCAGCCATAGATGTAGATAGATAGATATGATTCACACACACACAGAGATAGTATCCTAGATTTGAAAGAAACCCCTAAAGAAGGACAATGTTATGTTGCATGTTCCAGAGCAGGCAAACCAGACACTCTCCACATCAACACTGACAAAGAAACAACAAGAAATACTGGGTTGTTGTAGGTTTTTCTGGGCTATATGGCCATGTTCTAGAGCAGGGGTCCTCAAACTAAGGCCCGGGGGCCGAATGCGGCCCTCCAAGGTCATTTACTTGGCCCTTGCTTAGGGTCAACCTAAGTCTGTAAAGACTTGATAGCTCACAACAACAACAATCCCATCTCATCAGCCAAAAGCAGGCCCACACTTCCCATTGAAATACTAATAAATTTATATTCATTTTAATTATTGTATTGTTTTTGCACTACAAATTTATGTGCAGTGTGCATGGGAATTCATTCATGTTTTTTTTCAAATTATAATCCGGCCCTCCAACAGTTTAAGGGACTGTGAGCTGGCCCTCTGTTTAAAAAGTTTGTGGACCCCTGTTCTAGAGGCATGGCCATATAGCCCGGAAAAACCTTCAACAACCCAGTGAATGGCTATTGTTGTTAATTATATAGGATTGTTTAAGTGTTTGATGTTATTGTTTTTTACCGTGTACTGTATTTTTGCTGTTCTGTTGTTAACCGCTGTGAGTCGCCTAAGGGCTGAGAACAGCGGTATACAAATAAAGTAAAGTAAGTGATTCCGGCCATGAAAGCCTTCGACAATACAACAAGAAATACTGTTTACCCACAAGCATAAAGTAATTACATATATTAGAAACCAACACTTTCTCATTACTTTATTTCCCAGGTCACCAGACTGGGGCCACAGCAATGCATGGCAGGGGATGGCTAGTAAAACATATTTAAAAACAGTTCATTAAAATATTAAGAAACATTTGATTAAAACCATGCCGTTTAAAATCAGTGCCCAGGACAGCCCATTGTCATACATATAATTTGAGTCTTGTTCCTGATTACTGCTGCTACTGTTCAAATACTTGGTCCCATAATCAGGTTTGAGTTTTTTTTCTAAAGGACAGGAAGGAGGTAGCCAATCTGATGTCACTGGGGAGAAAGTTCCACAGGCGAGGGGCCACCACTGAGAACACCCTGTTTCTCATCCCCACCAGCTGTGTTTGTGATGGAGCTGGGATCGAGAGCAGGGCCTCTGCTTTAGAAAGTAGCACATTCTAAAGCAGTGTTTCTCAACCTTCCTAATGCCGCGACCCCTTAATCCAGTTCCTCATGTTGTGTTGACCCCCAACCACAAAATTATTTCCATTGCTACTTCATAACTGTAATTTTGCTACTGTTATGTATCGTCATATGAATATTTTTTAATCGTGTGGTCTTATTGTTAATGTTGCATTATTGTATTGTCCATGTTTTATTAATTGCTTGTATTGTTGTATTTGGGATCGGCCCCATATAAGCCACACCGAGTCCCTTGGGGAGATGGTAGCGGGGTAAAAATAAAGTGTTGTTGTTGTTGTTGTTGTTATTATTATTATTATATCTGATATGCAGAATGTATTTTCATTCGCTGGACCAAATTTGGCACAAATACCCGATATGCCCAAATTTGAATACTGGTGGGGTTGGGGGACGACTGATTTTGTCATTTGTGAGTTGTAGTTGCTGGGTTTTATACTTCACGCTAAATCAAAGAGCATTCCGAACTCCACCAATGGTGGAATAGAACCAAACATGGCACACGGAACTCCCATGACCAAGAGAAAATACTGGAAGGGTTTGGTGGGCGCTGACCTTGTGTTTTGGAGTTGTAGTTCACCTACATCCTGAAAGCACTGTGGACTCAAACAATGATGGATCAGGACCAAACTTGGCACAAATACTCAATATGCCCAAATGTGAACACTAGTAGAGTTTGGGGGAAATAGACCTTGACATTTTGGAGTTGTAGTTGCTGGGATGTATAGTTCACCTACAATCAAAGAATTTTCTGAACTTCACCAATGATAGAATTGGGCCAGACTTCCCACACAGAACCTCCATGACCAACAGAAAATACTGTGCTTTCTGATGGTCTTTGGCGACCCCTGACACCCCCTCGCGACCTCCCTCGGGGTCCCGACGCCCAGGTTGAGAACAACTGTTCTAAAGTCTCTTGTATTTGTCCCCATTGAACTTCATTTTGTTAGTTTTGGCCATTCATCTCCCTAATCTGTCAAGATCGTTTTGAATCCTGCTCCTGTCCTCTGGAGTCTTGGCTCACCCTCCCAATTTGGTGTCATCTGCAAACGTGATGATCCTGCCTTCTAGCCCTTCATGCCAAGTTTGGTTAGAGAAAGGTGGGGTATAAATAAGGTAAATAAATAAATTATCTAATATATCTAATATAAATTCTCTAGTATTTAATCACATTATAGTCACGACTCCATTTTTGGGTTGGCAAAATTGGTATTTTTGTGTTCCTCGCGTAATAGTCGCAGAGCCACTTGGGGCTGAAATATATATCAAGCTAACGCCCTAGAATCTTTGATTGTGAGAAATGTGTTTTGTGACTTCCATTTGCAGCAAATGCTGGCTTTCTTTGCAGGTATCACTTACAGTTGCTGCTGCGATTCCAGTAGTCTGAGCTGCGATGGCTGTGGCCTTCTTGGCATTCTTGAAGCCTTCGGTGCCGCAGGTAGACAGAGCCAGAGGGACGTTCTCAGGTGAGAGAACCTGGATGTGAGTGCTGCAGACACCACCAAAAAAAGACACACACACACACAATAGAATAAAAGTGACATCCTGTTAGAAATGTCATATAACACTTTCTGGTGACAGTCAGCTCTCTGGGGAACCATTTCTGTGATGTTTTAATGAAACTCTACCTTTGCAGCTGGCAGGGGAGCAAAAAGATGATCAATAATAATAATAATAATAATAATAACAACAATGGATGGAATTAGACTCAGTGTGACTAAAGGTGCTCCTGCTGTTGTTTGTTTCCTTTCCTTTTGCAGTTAGTTTTTATGTTACTCTTTAGACCCATGATGGTGAACCTATGACACGCGTGTCAGCACTGACACACATGGCTATTTTTGATGACACGCGGCCACAGAGCGGCCGCATACAGAGAAGCACACCTTATAAGAGCCAATCTAATTCCATCCTTAAATTTGTAAAAGGCTCTACAAATTTAATATCTTCACGTTTGAGCATTGTTCACTCCATAGCTCAGCATGGAATATACATTTTTCGTATTTAAACTATAAATATTGCAAAATTACGTTTATTTTTTCTCGAAGTTGACACCCCACCCAAGTTATGCTCAGGTTTTTGGCAAATTTTGACACACCAAGCTCAAAAGTTTGCCCATCACTGCTTTAGACTGTAAAACATTTAGTTTTATTTATTTATTTATTTATTTACTCCATTTGTATACCGCATTTATCAGCCTGAGGCGGCGACTCAATGCGGTTTACAATAAAAATAAGCAACACTGACAATATATAAGACACACATACACAAACAACACACATATAGTCATCAACGCCTCAATTAGAGTCAGATCCCGTTCTCACAGTCCTTTTTCGTTCCTTGTTCAATGCCGTCTTACTGAGTTAGTTGTCATTGCATAATTATCCGAATGCCTGCTCATAGAGCCACGTCTTAACCCTCCTCCGAAACACCAGCAACGAAGGGGCCTGCCTGATGTCCACTGGTAGGGCATTCCATAGCCGAGGGGCCACCACCGAGAAGGCCCTGTCTCTCGTCCCCGCCAACCTCACTTGTGACGCTGGCGGAACCGAGAGCAGGGCCTCCCCGGACGATCTTAATGTCCTCACCGGTTCATAGGTGGAGATGCGTTCGGAGAGGTAAGTGGGGCCGGAACCGTGTAGGGCTTTATAGGCTAAAGCCAGCACCTTGAATTGTGCGAAACATCAGGAGAGATGTGGGCGAAACATCAGGAGAGACTGCTTCTGGAACATGGCCATACAGGCCAGAAAACTCACAGCAATCCCATTATCCTAGTCCTGTCTCTCTCCTGGCCTATAAAGCCATGATTGACTGCTCACCCCAAAAGGTTTCTCCAGAACTCCAAAACAAATCCTCAGTCTCCTTTTGTTCCTCCCTTGAAGAATCCCTTTCTACAATGTCATAAAATCCAGATTATCTTTTTAAAACGAATTTTTATTTTTACTATAAAAAAATACATACAGTTCACACACAAAACATTTACACTTCCCACCACCAACACGAGGATTATTTTCTTTCAAATATTCATTTCTTTTTGAGACAATCATTATATCTTTATCTTTATACATTTTCATCCTGTATAGTATATAACATTTGTACCTTATTTCTTATGGCTTGATCTCCGGAATGATTCATAATATAGTTCTTTACCCTTATCAATCTTTCTTCCATTTTTCTCATTCTATTTTCATTGATTTTTTAATCATTCAATTTCACATTCATAATTTCAAATTCCATTTGCTCCACCATATATTGGTACCATTTATTTACTGTCCATTTTGATTTATCTTTCCACCCTAATACTATTACTGCTTGTGCACATTCTATTATTGCTCTTTTATTTCCCTTTTATTTCCCATTTCCTCTCTTTTCCCTAATACTGCTATTTCCTTTGTTATGACCCACTCATATCCTAGTATTTGATTTGATAAAATCCAGATTATCAAAACAGATGATCCACATTATCTGCTATGAACTGGATTATCTGAGTCTACACCGCCATATAATCCACTTTAAAGTAAATAATCTCAATTTTATGTGGCAATGTAGAAGGGACCTTAGGCCCTTCCACACAGCTGAATAAAATCCCAAATTATCTGCTTTGAACTAGAATATAATGCAGTGTGGACTCAGATAACCCAATTCAAAGCAGATACTGTGGGATTTTCTGCCTTGATATTCTGGCTGTGTGGAAGGGACTTAGTCTCCTCGACAGATGGGACAGATCCACCTCGGGCACAGAATGACCCTTACTTGTTATACTCACATAACAAAATGTCTCTTACTTGTTATATGTAGCTTTAATATGCGCTACGGGGATCTCTTCAAACTTCTTTCCGGCCCACCTCAAAGAGTTCTCTTTTCCTGGTGCTGGAGGGAAAAAGCTGGAAAAATAGAATGGCGAGAAATGTCAAACCCAATTCATAACATGGCTTCTCCCAATTGTGGGAGGGTTAAGAATTGTAATTCAGGTTCCACTTGGGAAGTCAGACACATACCATGACGGCATCCAATTCGGACGACTGTTACACATCCAACATGGGCCTGCCTTTGGAAATCATTCACATACAAAAGCAGTTCCAAAATGCAGGCCAGCCTATGGCTTTGGGACTGGAGATAAAGCTTCAGAGGCGATCCCTTTTTCCCCATGACAACAACTCTTCCAAGAGTGAATTTCCCTTCCTGGGGGTAGATTTCTCTCACTTCTTGTTGTCTCAGGCCCTTTCCTAACTAGGAATCATTTGTAAGTCATATGCTTGTAACTCGTAGACTGCCTGCATTTAATTATATACAAATCCACTATTGCAGTGACAGGTACATTATTTCCCAAAAGAACAATGGGCAGGCTTCATCCCAGTAAATCATTTGAAATAGCAAAGGCACTTTACCTGAAGTCACTCTTGTTTGTGGCCTCTGCCTCCTCAACCGAATCCTCTGCTAATTCCTGCAGTCTCCGGATACCTGTCTGGATACTCCGAGAAAGGGCAACACTGCAGCTGCTATCAGAAGGAGATAGGGTTTTCATTAGTTGGCAGGACTAGATCATGTACTACAGTGTTTCTCAACCTGGGGGTCGGGACCCCTAAGGGGGTCGCCAACGACCATCAGAAAACACAGAATGCAAAGCTGGGGTGAAAATGGCTGGAAGAAACATTCACAACCTCAGATATGCAGATGACACCACTCTGATGGCCGAAAGCGAGGAGGAGCTGAGGAGCCTTCTAATCAAGGTGAAAGAAGAAAGCGCAAAAGCCGGGTTGCAGCTAAACATCAAAAAAACCAAGATTATGGCAACAAGAATGATTGACAACTGGAAATAGAGGGAGAAAATGTGGAGGCCGTGACAGACTTTGTATTTCTAGGTGGCAAGATTACTGCAGATGCAGACTGTGGCCAGGAAATCAGAAGACGCTTACTTCTTGGGAGGAGAGCAATGTCCATTCTCGATAAAATAGTAAAGAGTAGAGACATCAGACTGGCCACCAAGATCCATTGCCTAGTCAAAGCCATGGTATTCCCTGTAGTCACCTACGGATGTGAGAGCTGGACCTTGGAAGGCTGAGCGAAGGAAGAGAGATGCTTTTGAGCTGTGGTGCTGGAGGAAAGTGCTGAGAGTGCCTTGGACTGCGAGAAGATCCAACCAGTCCATCCTCCAGGAAAGAAAGCCCGACTGCTCATTGGAGGGAAGGAGACTAGAGACAAAGTGGAAGTCCTTTGGCCACATCATGAGGAGACAGCAAAGCCTAGAGAAGGGAATGATGCTGGGAAAAGTGGAAGGCAAAAGGAAGAGGGGCCGACCAAGGGCAAGATGGATGGATGGCATCCTTGAAGTGACTGGACTGACCTTGAGGAGCTGGGGGTGGTGACGGCCGACAGGGAGCTCTGGCGTGGGCTGGTCCATGAGGTCACGAAGAGTCGGAGACGACTGAACGAATGAACACACACATCATCATGTCTCCTCTCAGCCTTCTCTTCTTCAGGCTAAACATGCCCAGCTCCTTAAGCCGCTCCTCATAGGGCTTGTTCTCCAGACCTTTGATCATTTTAGTCGCCCTCCTCTGAATCAGCAGCTCTTCCAATTAGGAAGTTCTTCCTAAAGTCCAACTCTGTCCTTTTCTAAATGTATGCCCTGCTTTGCCCCTTTCTCTCAGCTTTGTGTAGTCAGCTCCAGGCCCTTCTTACCCCAGCAGCCCACGCCGGGCGGTCGCCAACGCAGGGATCATGGCCCTCCTCCGCCACCGTCGCCGGGCTCCTCAAAGTTGGACCAGGCAGCCTTTCCGCCTCTGAAGTCAAAGTCTCTTCTCGCGAGAGTGAGAGGGGAGTGCAATGGCGGCGCCCAACGGAGAACCTTAGCCTGACAATAAACCACGTCCAAAGATGGCGGCGCCCACGTGTTGAAAAAGTCGTACGGAAAGAAGTCCTAGCAAGAGGCAGGCCAAGACCGGAAGTGCAGGCCGAAGCCCTTCCTGTTCCGGTTTGTGGCGCCGGAGGTTTAGGCTGAGGCAAGATGGCGGCGCCGTTTTGCAGGGCGGCAGTGCTGCTCTTCTGTGGCGCCGCCCGGAGCCGTCCTTCCTGCCGTGGCCTCTCCGGGGCTTCCGGGCCGAGGTGGCGGCTCTTCGGGGCGCTTTGCTTGCAGAGGCTTCCCTTGCTGAGCCAGGCCCTGGGGCCTCAGGAAGAGGAGATGGCCGGCCTCGTCCAGCAGGTGAATGAGGGGAGGCCGCCGCACGGAGGGATTAACGCGGATTGGAAGCGCTTTAGCAGCTTCCACACCACCAAGGCCTGAGAAACCAGTGGGATTTTGGCCTGCATAAATAGGAGCCTACTTACTTACTTACTTAGGCGATCCCTCGTTGGACGAGTAAGATGGTCTTCCATCATGGGTTTCCTTGTGGGTCCGTATGTGGCTGTGGAGCCCTATTCTTGCTCTGCATCTTCTTCCGCAGTGAGGGCATTGGTTTCCAGGTGGAAGGCGGTCCCGGTTGGGGTTGGCGACGTGCCTTCCTCTTGGCACGTTTCTCTCTTTCACCCTCCATTCGTGCCTCTTCAAATTCTGCAGCACTGCTGGTCACAGCTGACCTCCAGCTGGAGCGCTCAAGGGCCAGGGCTTCCCAGTTCTCAGTGTCTATTTCAGAGTTTTTAAGGTTGGCTTTGAGCCCATCTTTAAATCTCTTTTCCTGCCCACCAACATTCCATTTTCGGTTCTTGAGTTCGGAGTAGAGCAACTGCTTTGGGAGATGGTGGTCAGGCATCCGGACAATGTGGCCGGTCCAGCAGAGTTGATGGCGAAGGACCATCGCTTCAATGCTGGTGGTCTTTGCTTCTTCCAGCACGCTGACGTTTGTCCGCCTGTCTTCCCAAGAGATTTGCAGGATTTTCAGGAGGCAGTGCTGATAGTTCTAGGAGTTGAGTGTGATGTCTGTAGACAGTCCACGTTTCACACCCGTATAGCAGGGTTGGGAGGACAAAGTCTTTATAAACAAGCACCTTGGTCTCCCTACAGATATCCTGGTCCTCAAACACTCTCTGCTTCATTTGGAAAAATGCTGCACTCGCAGAGCTCAGGCGGTGTTGTATTTCGGTGTCGATGTTGACTTTGGTGGAGAGGTGGCTGCCAAGGTAGCGGAAATGATCAACATTTTCTAATGCTACACCATTAAGCTGTATCTCTGGCATTGGAGAGGGGTTGGCTGGTGTCTGCTGGAACAGCACTTTGGTTTTCTCGATGTTCAGTGACAGCCAAGCTTCGTGTATGCTTCTGCAAAGGTGTTTAGAGTGGCTTGTAGATCTTCTTCTAAATGCGCACAGACGACATTGTCATCAGCATACTGGAGTTCTATAACAGATGTTGTTGTAACTTTGGTTTTGGCTTTCAGTCTGCTGAGGTTAATAGCTTGCCATCTGTCCGATAGATGATTTCCACTCCGGTGGGAAGCTTCCCATCAACAAGGTGAAGTATCATAGCGATGAAGATGGAGAATAGAGTTGGGGCAATAACACATTCCTGTTTGACACCCGATTCCACCTTAAATGGGTCACTTTGGGAGCCACTGCTGTCCAAGACTGTTGCCATCATGTCATCATGGAGGAGCCGCAGGATGTTCACAAATTAGGAGCCTAGGGAAGTCATGCTCCCCCCCCCCCTCGATTCTGTTTTAAAGGAAGGAAACTTGTCTCCTGTGCTATGCTAATAATATAATTTAATATAATATATTGTATATACTTATAATATTTATAATATTATAATGTAATAAAATATAATCACAAGCACGGTTGGCGGGAACGAGAGACAGGGCCTTCTCAGTGGTGGCCCTCTCGGCTATGGAACACCCTGCTTCGCTCCTATCATTCACTCCTATCATTCCGAAAGCACTAGGGCTGGGCAACCACGGAAAAATTTGTTTCTAAACTTGATTCGTTTTTAGGGGGGTTTTGCGTTTCGTTTTTTAAAAGAATTCCGAAATTTTTCTTTAAAAAAGTTCGAAAAATATACGAAATTTCGTAAATTACGAAACAATTACGAAACAATTACGAATCGATTCGTTAATGGCGGACGCGACCGCGCAATACGCTAAAAAACCTCCAAATGGGACAGGGGGAACTTCTGAAGCTTCCCTCTCCCTCTGTTGTTGACTGTTAGTGTGATATTTATAATTTTTTTTCACTGATTAAACAAACAACAACTATAAAACTTGCCCCAGACATCGAAAATTACGAAACAATTAAGAAATGAATTGAAAAATTCGTTTCGATTTTTAGTTGCTCCTGAATGGCTCAATATCGGATCGTAAGCTAATTTAAATACGAATCAATAACGAATTACGAAATTAACGAACGAAACCGCCCAGCCCTAGAAAGCACCTTAAGAAATGGCTTTTTGAGCGGGCATTTGAAAATACAGACTAACGGATATAATAACGGAATAACTACATGGCGGAACTGGATATTGTTTTAAGGGATATCGATTGAAGTATGTTTTATTATAATGGTTGATTTTATTGTTGCTAATGTTTTTATTTATTTATTTACTATGCTTATATACCACTGTATCTCAAGCCCGAGGGCGACTCACAGCGGTTCACAAACAGTAAAGACAATAAAAACAGCAATAGTTCAATACCACAATGACAATTAATTTACACATTTTCCATTAATAACTAATAAGCAATCCCAATACACAGCTATTACAAAAAACCCATACCCAATCGCCTCATCATCCAAGCGTAGTCCAGGTTCGTCATCCATTGTTCCATTCCTATGTTCAGTTACCAGATTGCACTAAATTACTCAAACGCCTGCACAAACATCCAGGTCTTCAACTTTCTACAGAATGCCATGAGAGATGGTGCCAGCCTAATGTCTGTAGGAAGGGTGTTCCACAGCCAAGGAGCCACCATCGAGAAGGCCCTATCTCTCGTCCCCGCCAACCGTGTTTGGGAGGCCAGCGGGATCGAGAGCAGGGCCTCCCCGGAAGATCTCAAAGTCCTGGTGGGTTCATAGGCCGAGATGCGGTCAGATAGGTATCTTGGGCCGGAACCGTTTAGGGCTTTATAGGCCAATACCAACACCTTGAATTGGGCCCGGTAGCAAATCGGCAGCCAGTGGAGCTGGCGCAACAGGGGGTTGTGTGCTCCCTGCGCTCCGCTCCTGTTAGAATCATGGCTGCCGCGCGTTGGACTAATTGCAGCTTCCGGGCCGTCTTCAGGGGCAGCCCCACGTAGAGAGCGTTGCAGTATATTGTATTTTGTAATCGTGTCCGTAGTGGCATTGAATTCTTGCTTTGTAAACCACCTCGAGTCACCAAAAGGCTGAGAGGGGCAGTATAGAAATGTACTAAGTAATTAAATAAATGTAATACTTATAATAATAATATGATATTATAATTATATATTTTATATTACATGTAATATTACTAATAATATTACAATATAATGGTCTAGTACGATATAGTAATATATAATTACTGATATTGTACTATGCTAATAGTATAATATATTGTATGTATATGTATCTTGTAAGCTGCTCTGATTCCCCTTCGGGGTGAGAAGGGCAGCATATAAATGTCATAAATAAATATAATGTAATGCAATATAATAGTAACGATAATAACAATACAATATTCTAATGGTATAGTACAATATAGTAATATATAAGAATACTGTACTATGCAAATAATATATTGTATGTATGTATGTATATGTCTTGTAAGTTGCTCTGAGTCCCCTTCGGGATGAGAAGGGCAGCATATAAATGTTGTAAATAAATAAATAAATATTCTATTCTGTCTTGGTCAGACCACACCTGGAATCACACTGTGCCCAGTTAGATGTTGACAAGCTGGAATGTATCCAGAGGAAGGTGACTAAAATGATCAAGGGTCTGGAGAACAAGCCCTATGAGGAGTGGTTTAATGAGCTGAGCATGTTTTGCCTGAAGAAGAGAAAGCTGAAAGGAGACATGTATCAAGATGTGAGGGGAAGTCATAGGGAGGAGGAAGCAAGGTTATTTTCTGCTGTCCTGGAGACTAGGATGCAGAATACAGGAAAGGAGATTCCACCTCAACATGAGGAAGATCTTCCTAACTGTGAAAGCTGTTCAGCAGTGGAACTCTCTGCCCCGGAGTGTGGTGGATGCTCCTTTTTGGAGGCTTTTAAACAGAGCCTGGATGACGGGGGTGCTTTGAATGCAGTTGTCCTGCTTCTTGGCAGAATGGGGTTGGACTGGATGGCCCACGAGGTCTCTTCCAACTCTGATTCTATGAAATTATAAAACAGTTAAAATATATAAATGCAAGTATAAGAGGTCTCGTACGTTATTACCATGGAGTAAGGCAATATAAAGTGCTAGTGTGTCACAATTTCACCAGTCTTAAAGTGGAGCAGTGCTGCGGTTTAGATCATGAAGTTAAGTATTTGATATCAACACTCACTGTGCAGTTTAGAGTGGAATTCACCAGCCAGGCCACAGTGATTAAACCCAATTAAAACTTGAGTGGACAATAGTCAAACGAACACTAAAGCCAGGTGGAGAGGGCCCTCAGGAGCAGCCTGGCCAGCTATGCATATAATCCAGAAGGGATAAGCACTGGTGACAGCAGAGGCAGCGAATGCAGCAGACGGGTGATGGAAAAGACCCTGGAACAGCTGATACAGTTATAAAGCAAAAATCAAAGTAATGTTTGAACCTGGAAATCTGTCATTTATTGGTTTTTTGTCTCCTTAAAGTCTTTCAGATTTTCAGAGAACGAGAGAGGATTCTTTTCAGAAGCCTGCTGCTGGGGTTCGAGGTCTGACATCTTGGTTTCTTTGTCTAGATTGAAGTGGAGAAAAGCCTCTATTCAGACCACGAGATACGTTGCTTGGCAGAGGAAGAGCGCCTGCGGAGAAGGAAAGACCAAAACGAGGACGAGGAGGACGAACCTGGGAAGGAGATTGTTCTGGCACAAGACCTGGAAGACGCCTGGGAACAGAAACTCC